TCCTTTGATGTTAGGGCAAAAACCACATTATCAAACTCCATATCTATTATTGACAAGAACTTGGATTCCTGGAGAATTATCTTAATATCTTTCATCACGTGGCCAAGGTAAAGAATTATATGGACATGCAGTAAATGAAACTGAAAATTATTTCATCTTTTTTTTTGTCCGATTACTCAGAATATCAAAGAGATAGCAAAATTAAGTCTTCAAGAGAATTATGCAATAGAGGATGCCATAACAGCAATTCTATAAACTAATTCAAATTCAAGGAAGCAATCCAGTAGGCCATTTGTCAACTCTACAAATGATTCTGTACAAGTAAGTCCCTTGCCCTTTTTAATACAGCAAGATCTGAACTACAGTGGATTTTTCCCAATTCAATTTCATCATTAATATTACCAACAAGTTGCATCTAAATGTTCAATGCTTCCACTAGGAGTTGGAGTATGAACGCTCAACACGTGAAGAAACTTTGGCTGGCCAACGGCAATATCTTGAAGAAACTAAGATATCCAATGAAGTTTCTCATAAAACCAAAGTGCCATTTGATGATGATGTGCGTTATAATTACTGTATCCCAATAGCGATTTTGAAGTGGCCTTGTGATTACTAACCACTCTTCTATGCATCACAGGGTATTAATGTCACAGTAAAAGAAACAGCTCAAGAAAGGCCCACCTCTAATAGGGATGTTATATTAGAAACTCTGTTAGCCGATTTAACACCAAGAAATTTATCAGCAGCTTCAATCACCACTCTTCAAGAGGACCTAACACTTGTACATCTATTGGTACTTTTATAGAGCGTTGAAAGCATTCAAGAGGAGACCACAACAATGGAGGCTAAAATAGATAGTTCCTCCTTTTATTCACATGGAGAGGCCTCACAATCAATTCCACATATGATGGTAAGTTCAGCATACGATGATGCTGAACTTTGGAGTTTATATATTCGGAAATGCAAGACCAAGGAAAATAACTTCATATTTTCTAGGTTGATAGTGTGGAAGAATGTGTGAAACCAAAGTTTCAAAAGCATGATTCATCAAATGAAGACGAAGTAGCAATTCAATCAACCAATCTAGAGCAAATTAAGCAACCAAGAGAATCATCGGATATGCCTTTAGGAAGAGAATTTCCACAGGTAAGGGAATTGAAGTTTGTTAGATTGTTTTGTCTTTTGTCTTCATGACTGTTGGATATGAGGGCAGTAAACAATTATATCGTTCATCGTGTCTCAAACTAATTATATGTTGCCGAGAAAAAATAATTAGTGAATAAATAGATAAATTATATGATATTAATGTCACTTTATAAATCAAATTTTATCTTTTACCAGGTTTTACTGAAAGCTTAGATACAGAGGAGAAAGTTGTTAGACTAATTTTTCCTTTTGTGCTTTGTAGACTACTAAACAAACAAGATATGCAAATGTTCAAGATGGACCTGAATCAGAGAAGGCTGAAATTGCTAACTTTTTGACATATTCTTGTGATTTTAAACCCAATATTCCGATGGAGGACACCACAAGGTGTCATGATGGTATTCCCTCTTCCCATCATCATAAGTGTCTTTCTTTTTTTGACGATTTTAGATTCTCTTCCAGTTATGTGCTAACTTTCTTGGCTATATATATGTATGTATGTCAGAAGCACAAACTGGTGCTGCTGCTTCTTCTTCTCCAATACTAGATAGTGGTGAGATTTTCCAACTTGTGGAGTTGAAGGATGGAGAACCAGCTTTATTGGCCAAAACACTTGAGCTATATCCTTAACTAGGGCTGTCTTGTGGACAACGTACTCACCCAATAATAGCTTTTTCCTACAGAGTCCTTATTGATATTTTAATCTTGCTGGCTACCAAAACACCTTATGCCATTACAGCATCAGATAGAACTGTCCTAGAGGTGAACTTAGGTGCTACAACTTTTCTTGGGTTTGACAAGGAGTCGATTAAGCTGGTTCAGGCCAAAGTATTTGGCATTGACAAATCTGATGTCTTGGTAGCAGAAGAGAAAATCTCAGTCATGGAGGAAGAACTTGAGAAATGTGACATTGCATTGGAACGTGTGCAAAAGAAGAGGATAGAAGCTAAAGAGAAGGTAGCAATAGCACAAACTGAGTTTGAAGCGGTTGACACTCAACTGTTTGATCTGTTGGAAGATCGCAGGAACTTAGTTATGAAGATGGCTGAGTTTAGGAAAAAAATAATAAGTGCCAAAGATAGGCCCTTCTGGTTGTTTGTGTTATGTTTCTAAAAAGAGTAAAAAATGAGAGAAACATAATGCCTAAGACAAACCAATATGGCCCCTATGTTCCATTAAATAATGCTTGTTAGTAGAATTTAATCGCTGTGATCTATTAGCAAACAGCTTGTGCAATGCCTCTTGATGCCAATTTTGTTAGGTTGGCTGCTTTCCCATATTACAAATCTGTTGTGTCATTGCCCTCACTTAAACTATATTCTTCTAAATGACATGGTTTGTGCCAAGTATTCTTTTAATTAATAGTAATGGGTACAATAACCACTAGTCCAAAAACGTGAAAAATTAGACTATAAGCAACATTGTAGCTAGCAGAACTGAAAAGGCTATACTTCATTCCACAAACATCACAAGCACATAGTCTCTGATAGTCATATAGAGATTAGACGTTTCAATTAGAGAGGATTTTATTTGTCCGTTGTCAAATATAAAGAAAGAAACTAATGGCTTTGGGTTTGACTCTTGCATATACAGCTCGTATTGAAAACTGGTAAAAAAAAAAAAAAGGGAGCTTTATTGCCCATATGATCCTATCGGCTCAATGAAAGTAATTAGTCAAAATTCAGTATAACTTTTATATTATTCATCTACTAGCATAACTCCTTAGAATGCTTGTCGGAAATGTTTGGTTTATCCAAAAAATATTTTTTAAAAATATTTTCATATAAATCGAGATAAAATTGCTCCAAAACACCTCTTAAAGAACAAATTATTTTCAATGATATATGCTTATATAACAATTGGCGGCCGTTGGCAGCCTAAGGACGGAACAAAAATTGATAGATAAACTGACACTTAGAGAAGCAAAACGTGAAATCAAAATATGCAGCACTTTATAGTATAAATGGAAATGCAAAATCAGCAAAGAGCACAATGGATCAAAAGAAGCCATAAATTATTCTTAATTTTTAACTCATATTTAAATGTTGCTAGAAATAAAGAATTGATAATGTTAATTACTTTATAAAACAAACTTCATATTTCGGTTTTATTCAGGGCCTAGAAGCAGGGGAAGGAAGATTCATCAAAATTCAAAGGCGATCCAAATGACAACTCCAGGCTCCTTATTTGTCGTTCATTTATTACTTCGATACCATCATATTCTTTTTAATCAAATTGAATGATGATATATGAAGAATGAAAATCACTATAAGGGTGAGGTCTGGTTCTTTTGTGAACTTTCATAATATATAGTAGTGACAAATAATATTCTTTTCAACGGAAATCTCAGCAAAAACAAAATATTAGATCACTTATTAATTTTTTAGTTGTTCAGATTACTTTTGTTTCCTCTTTAAGAAGTGTTTGGTTTGTGCAAAAAGCACTTCTAAAAAGTATTTTCATATAAATCAAGACAAAACTCTTTTTACACACTTCATATACTGTAAAATCACTTTTAAAATTATGGTTTGGTTTCTATTGAAACATCTCCTTAATACATCTAAATATTACTAGAAGGAGAATTGATAAGTTAACAAAGAGAAAATTCATATTATATGATATAATGAAGTTGTTCATTAAACAAATTTTATGATCTTTAGATGTTATTCAGAGTTCAGAAACAGGGGAACAGAGCTGTTAAAATTTATCTCTCACGGCCACCAATGGCCATAACTTCAACATTCAGAGGCAATCAACCAGAATGCTTCAGAGCCTTAGTGAACACATCATATGGCCTGAGCTTTGTGAAATCTGAAAGAAACCTCACAAAACCAGAAAAAGGATGCTGCCCAGAGATCGCAGGACTAGTAGAGAGCAGCCCCATTTGCTTATGTGAGCTCTTAGGGCATCCTGAAACCACTGGCTTCACCATTGATGTTAAGAAAGCTCTCAACCTTCCTTCTCTTTGTGGAGTGTCTTCTGTTCCTAATGTTACTTCCTGCTCAGGTATCCGTACTTAAACTTCAATCATCGTCTTCTCTGAGTTTTCATTTTTGTTCGATCTGTTTAGTTTTCTCTGAGAATCATGATATATAGTAACTAATCTGATTCTGGGAATCAAATCTCTTTTCATCATCAGGAACTGGTTATTTAATCACTTTTAAAATTTAGAGAATGATTCAAAAGAACCTTAGACATGCTAGTTTATATTATTGACATTGGCAGATCCAATAATCACGGTCTTTTTTTTTTTCTCTGGAAAATAATGTTTTTTAATCAAGCTAACGCTGATGTATGTGCAGTGCACCGTCTTCGATATTGTGATGCCATTTGCAATTTCATATCGACAGTGGTCTAATTTTTTTCCCCCTTTCTCGAAAATAAGTCCCAATTTAATTAGCAGTTTTTTTTGGGCAAAAGGACATGAATTGAGTGTGTGCAATTATTTTTTCTCCGATGCAACTCTTTTTTAACTATATGCATTATTTTTCATTATTTGGTATTGAAGATTTTTCTGTATAATTGACGGTATGTTGCATTCAAATGAGGAAGAATTACATTACTGAAGATAATTATGCCAAGTCTTTTTACCAAAAAGGTTTGCCACATGAACCAATGGGCATTTGGTCTAGTGGTGGAGATTAGTTACTCATATTATAATAAACCGATATTTGAATTTTTGCTAAGAGATATATTTACATTTAGTTTCTAATAGTTTCTTAGATAAGATTGCCTCTAATGGCTAATATATGTAGAAAAGAAATTGCCAAATGAGAACATTTTCCCGAATTCTCCTTTTTTTTTTTTAATTAAATGTGTGAGTGAATATGTATTAAATATTTACTGTTATGAGATGCAGCTGCGGGAGTGCCAGTGTCATTGGCTCCAATAAGTCAAGATGCCATGTCTCCGAGTAAGACAATGAAATATTTCCATCATCATTATTATTACCTTTTTTTTCTGTTGATATTACCCCTTTTTTAATAAGGAATTCATTATTCTTAACCTTTTTTAATATCATGCTCCCTTTGATTGTCCCCACCATGTGCCACCCTACTTTTATTTTCAATTGATGATTGATTACGCTCACATGGAGCTATTATGTAACTTTACCATTTATGTTAATTTTTCAACTGCTCCCTACTCCAAGTAATTAATATGAATTTTGGCCAAAAAAAAAAGTAAGTAATTAATAAATCTGATGAATTTTCTTACCAACAATTCATATATTTATGTATAACCAGTAATGGAGAAGAAAATGAATTCTTGTGCGTTTGATTAAAAGCGGCTTCAACTTTTTTTAATTAATTTTTGAAAAACTGAATTTAAAATATTTCAATATGATAATGCATGATCATAATCTAGTATTAGATTTTTTTTTTAAGAAAAAAGAATAATGATATCTAATGAACTATTAAGGATAAAAAAAAAATCCTTTTGAAGAACTTTTCCACATGAGAACCAATTTATTAATCTCTTTGCTTTTCCTGCCATTAAATTGCAGATGATCAACCAAGAGAAGGATTGGCACCAAGCCCTTCAACACAGGAATCAACTTTGACTTATCTTCCAAATGAAGACGACGAAGATGCAGCTTCCACCATTAGCAGACACTCTAAGCTCAATTTCATGTTCGGCTTCGTCATTGCCATCATCTTCACCTTAAATTATGATTCCTAAACATCATTAATTACTATGTTCTTAAAACGTCATTTTTGGGTTCATACAGTCCCCATTTACATTCACTGGCTGGCCCTCTCAAGTCTTAGCTTTGAAGTAGCGGTAATAAAAGTTATTTTTTATCTTATTTTTGCAAACTAATATTGGGGTAACATTGTTTTATAGAAAAGTTAGTTTAACAAAAAATTTGTTTGGATGGTATATTACTTTAATTGTAACCTAAATTTTGTTGCATACCAAAAAGCACTTATCATACTGGTAAAGGGTTCGTCCAATTTAACTAGTGGTCTTGTGTTTAAGTGCCGGAGATGTAGCAGTGTTAAGAATACCTGGTAATAAGATTTTAAAAAAGGACTAGATGTTAGGTGGCCCAAAGGATTATATTTTGAAAAAATGTGAAAGGGACAATAAATTTATTTATTGAAAGTTTCTTGTTGGGACAAGATACGTTGTCGGATGATATATATAAAATATACCACTTGCATAATAAAACCAAAACCAAAACCAAATCATCTAACTCATTGACAAATAACTTACGTATGGCATACATCAAATTCGCAAGTGGATGTATAACAAAACAAAAAGAAGGACGAATTTGGTTTAATTCACAACTTTGATAATAATTAAAATAGATTAAGAATTGATCAACAAAAGAATAGTAATATAAGAAAGACTTGGAAAAATTGACTTCATTATTATATATTTTCTTAGCCAGAGGGTTTTCTTGCGATCCGAGAGTGCTTATTCTCCTATTCAGACCTTCTTCAATGATACTACCATTGACTTTAAAAGCCTCAAATCTCATTACTGAAATTTCCCCTATGCTCTGTGCTATCTCTCTGTGTGCTCTGTTTTCCTGGTAAGTACGTGCCTTGATTCATCCCTTAAAGTATTCTCTCAATTTGTTAATTTTGATTTGTTATTCTCCTTTTTTTTCCCCCTTTTCAAAGCGATTTGATTTGAACAGAAAACTGAAATTGTTGAAGCCTGAAGGCATCGTCAAGCAATCTGCAATCTGCAAAAATGACTTGGTAAGTTCATCACATCACCTTCCCTTTTTATCTCTTAATTATTTACTTTTCGTTTATCATAGCTACTGTTTTTATATTATAAGTTTATGTGTCTCCTGTGCTTCATAAGTCCTGTCTTCTGCTTCAGTACTGAGACTTACAGGTAAACGTTATTAACTCCACTGTGTTACTAATGATGAGATACCTTTAAATCATTCTAGGCTTTACTTCGTGACAAATAATTTGTAGGGAAAATTATCCTAAGGTTCCAAACAAGGAAGATAATTATTGAAAAACCTCAATGATAAGTGAGCAGTTAAAATCTATCATTATTTCCTATGATGTAACTTGTCATTAATTACAAGCTACTTAGTTGTTAGAGATTTTTTTTTAATAAATATATTTCTTATTTGGGACTTTATAGTAATACTTCCTAATTTGTATGTAAATCCGATTTTTTTGATGATTGTGAAGGTTTAACTTAGATAATATATATACTTGATAAATAATCTCTCCATAAATAATATTCAATAATACGGTGAAAGTTTTTGCATGCTAGTTTTCGAACTGTGGGCAAAGAAGACATTAAAATCGTTGTCTTTATTTTCTGATTAATTGCTGCATGATTCTGTGTGCTCTTGTTAATTAATTACTTTAAGGTATATTCACCTTATAATTATATACTCCCCTTGTATCTATCTTTCCTTTGGTTTAATTTCATTGTTGTGTTTATATCTTTCATTTTGCTTCTTAAGTTCTTTCACTCTTGTTTCCTTTTCCTTATCTGCGTAGATCTGACACTGCTGGCAGGATCGAACATACTTGATACAGTCATGTTCCATAGTAGACCTCGTTCTCTTAACCTCTACCAATATATATTGAGAGGGTTAGAAGGAAATAATATTGTGATATACTTCTCCGTTCCTAAATATAGACCTATTTTGTAGTATAATTTATATTATAAAATAAGTCTTATATTTAGAACTAGAAGAGTATAATTTATTATATATTCTAATATATTGTTAAAAATTAGCTGAAACCTGTTATTAAGCTTTGTCCTTTTGTTTTGCAGTGTGTAACCTGATCGCTGATCATATTTAGTACTTCGTTGTAGCTGTCGCATGTTTGATTGCTTTGTCTTTCTACCAAATTAACAAAGAAATTCACGAAAAAAAAGGCAAAAAAAGAAGACTTCACCGTCCAAGAATCATCAGAGCAACGCCGTTGGAATCTCCCCGGGGGGGGGGGGACAAAGAGAAGGTAAACTATATATTTTGATCGTGTCAATCTTACTGTCAATGCTTATTAATTAAATTAATAAAAGCCTAGGAATTCATCAACAAAATAATAATAAAAGACTTGCAAATTTGAGTTTGTGAGTCCAATAATTGAGGGCACATACAGTGAATAATTATAGATATTTTTAGCTTCTTTAAATCTCGGGAAAAGACAAGGAGAGATTAATAATATCATTCTTTTATATGTGTTGATTTTCTTTTATTTGTTTGTATGGCAAGGCGATTAAAATTCATTTTTCTTTTTTTCTTTTGGCAGTTTGTATACCCTCATTAGTTCGTGTTTGGGTTCTTGATTTATAGTTTTCCATTCGGTGGGTTGTTTTTAATTTCTACAAATTAAAAAAGAAATGTCAAAGTATCATCCAAAAGTATTGGAATCTCTCAAGAAAGGTTAGTATTCTTGTTCTTGACCTCTACCAATATTGAGGCATTTGGACTTGCATGTCTTATCTAAAATATTGTGTTGAATAATTTACATATAAACACGAATTTTTTCATAACTATTGTAAATATTCCTTTTTTTTTACCAGCAAATTATTGTAAACATTCAAGATATGTATAGTACTACTTAATGTTTAAAAAAAAATCTCCATTCATGACAATTTATAACTATATTTTTCAACATTTAAATTCAGTTTCGTTCAAATTTTATGATATTCTTTTTTATAATATATTTTCACCATCTGTTTTATCTGATATATAATAATTTTATTTATGATAGTTGAGCAATGTAGAGTGCTCAAGTTTTAAATTTAAATATTTAAATTATTATTTAACCATATTTTTTGTTCTTGTAACGTAGATTACCAGTATTCAAGGTTAATTAAACAAATCGATGAAACTATGTAACGGAATATAGTTTGAAAAAATAGTTGATGATTTAAAACCTTTAAAATTAGCCTCAAGAGAGATAGGCGTGGATAAATGGCTTAGTAGCCTACTTAATTTAAATTTATTCTTGAGCTTCTAAGCCCAAATTTTGGGATATGACACCTCCTTTCATACACTGATTTTTCTTGCTTTTATTGGGTCCAATTTGGCTCTCAACAACTTTCACGTCAATTTGGAATAATTACAATTTTCTAAGGCCAAAATAAACGGAAATTTATGAATTCAATCATGAGCTGTAATATTTTGTATTAATCCACTAAAATCTTCAAATAATTATTTAAAATGATCATACAAATATAATCATTTAAGGCATTTACATAATTTTTGACTCATGGAATTTGGCCAAATACGAAATAATTAGCCAAAAATAGGCTTTTAAACTCAACATTTTTTGACTCATGGAATTTGGCCAAATACGAAATAATTAGCCAAAAATAGGCTTTTAAACTCAACATTTTTTCCTGAGGTATTTTAACCTTTAGTGCATCCACTGGGCCTTAAAAATCACTTAGAAACCTTTTTCCTATTTTCCCTGAATTTGCCTCTTTTTTTTTAAATTTTTGGCTGGGATCATTATTGACCTGATACATATAACGCATTAATATGGATTTCAACAAGAGCTTTAATGATATTTTCTTTTTATTGGTGACATTCATTTCAATTTCTTTTTTTCTCCCCTTATCAGGACAATAATCTCACTCGAAAATCTGGGTGTTCGTTTTCTTGTTGTCTACCTTGAGGACTCAACAGAGGTAATCATCTTATTCCTTTTATAATATTATCTCTGGTCCTTAATATAAAAGCTAGTTGACTAATTTAAGTAGATTAAAAAAACTAGTTAAGTTAGTTATTTATAAAAATATGTGTGTTTTTCCCAAAATATCATTACTAATCAAGTATATTGATTAGAACTACCATTATTATAAGGATTATTTTTAAAATAAATAAATAAATATGAGACACAAAGTCAAATGGGCTGCGTGTTATAATTAGGATCAAAATAAAAATTAAACGAGCCATTATATTAAGGACTCGAGATAGTATATAATCTTCTCTAATTTGTGATTTTTATGAATATCATGGTTTGTATATATGCATGCGCCTCTCCGCTTCCGCATTCCGCGCTCAGCATTCAAAACGCTGGCGGTAATACTCTGTATTCCGTGCATAGATGGAACCCATCTCAAATCATCCTACTTCTTTAAAACAACCTGTCAAAGTTTGCATGATTCCTTTTCTTGCAGATAATAAAGGCAAAACGAAAATTAATACGAAGGTAATACTTGCCCCATGACTGATCCATCTATGTTAGTGAGAGAGCAGTATTGCAGCCACAAACTATCCTCATCCTCAGCATAAAAGGACCATACATTAGGTTCTCAGCTAAAACAATAGCAAGTAGATGGATAATTACATTTCAAACCAAATCTAGCCTCATTTGACTCTTCTTTCCTTCCAATTCTTTTCCATGTAAAGGAAAGTTAACATATATTCCAGAAGCTCTCTTCAACCAATTTAGTTCACCAAGATGATACAATTCTTCAACAAACAAAGCAGGACCAAGCAAGAATTAGCATATCTTAGAGACGTTAGGCTCAAAAAGCCTCCATCACTATACTAGTACCACCTCAGAGTCACCTAAAACATAAGCCATGAAGACAGCTTCAAAGAGACCTTCAATTGCTCGCCATCTTTAAATCAGAAAAACAAATTAAAGCTCTCGTATTGACATTATTACAGCAGAGATTGCTTCTGAATATTTCTTGTACCACCGATTCTACCAGCGAGGCGTCGGCTTCAACAGACCCATCATCCTCACCCCTCTTCAATCTCTGCATCGCGATCTTTGATGATCTCAATCTCCAT